GCGGGAAGTTCTCCTCCGCCTCTTCTCCTCCTCTTTGGCTGAATGCGCATGCGCGACATTCGGCATTCACAATGCTTTCCTATGGATGCTGGCGTCTTCTCACCGTGATTTTCACAGTGAGAAGCACGCAAGCGCCTCTAGCAGCTGTCAATGAGACAGCCACTAAAGGCTGGATTAACCCTAATATAAACATATCAGTTTCTCTTATTTTATATAAATATTCAAATGTCTATAACATTTTTCAAATTGTCACATTAATTTATTTATATCAATAATCACTATTAGCACTAAGAAAATATTGTACTAATGCATTTGAATTACATTAATATCAATTCACTGTACACTATGTGTGTGTCTCTCATTTCCTTTCATGTATAGAACGGGGGGAAAGAGAAAATAAGAAGGTCACAATCCATTGTACCTTTGTGAGTGCAATTGTGATCCTAATTTCCTGTCTGGTGTTGTACAGTACTATAATTTGCGTTTATTCATTTCTATAGATTGTATATGTTTACAATCCACAGGATCAACTGTTAAATGTTATAAACTAAACGATATCAAGAAAAGAAAGTTGATAAAATAATACATATATATGAATAATTTATTTTGATAAGTCATTCAATATTTATTAGTGTTTCCAATTAATTCTCTGAGGTTAATCATTTTCATTATCAGAAGATAGTAATTTAAAGAATCACTATCTATATTAATAAAATGTAAAATAATGATTATTTGGGATGAATTATATGTGAAATGCACTCATTTTGAGGAGTGGGGTGTTATAAGTAACATTGTAGGATATAAAATCTGGTTAAAACTAGTTAAAATGCACATGTGTCAATTGTTAGGTTGCTTCATGGAAATGTTAGCGAAAGGTACATAGTTTCTTTCAGGGCTCCCTTTTGGGGTGATACTTGGTATCTAAACACAAAATTGACAGCAAAGGAAGGCTGTCAGGTGTCTCCATGTACAGGGCCGGACTGGGAAAAAAATTAGGCCCGGGCATTTTTCAATTAGAGCGGCCCCCCAAGAAGGGGGCAGGGCCAGAGAGGGTGTGTTTTGTCATCACTAATGACAAGTACGCCCCTTCTGAAAGTGAGCATGTTGGTTCAATGCGCAGAGCCCCGCTGAAGAGCTCTGGCATTAGAAAAAGGCCCTGAATTTGTTCTGCGCAGCGCAAGCAAATGTAATAACATGCTTGCGCTGTGTAGCTTTTAAATTGTCTCTGGTGTCTCCACAAGTGGGATACCAGAGGACAAAAGGGCCAGGAAAGCGTATGGTGCATGTGTTTGGCGCATGCTAGTGGGATTGTGTGTGTGTAGAGTGTGGTGTGGTATTGTGTAAATAGGTCAATTTTGTGGTGTAATATGTGTGGCTAGGGGTTGTAGAGAGTGCGTGTATAGGGGCATAGTGTTATAGGGGATGTAGCGAGTGTGTACATACGGGCAGTAGTGTGTGTGTATAGGTGATGTAGTGTGTGTAGGGGTTGTAGAGAGGGTGTGTTTAGAGAATGTTGTATGTGTTTGCTTACAAGGAATGTAGTGTGTGTGTAGGTGGTGCAGTGTGTGTGTAAAGGACCCAGAGTGTGTGTGTGTGTGTGTGTGTGTATAGAGGATTAAGAGTGCATATAGGGTAAGGGATCTAGCGTGTATCTGGAGCGTTATGTGTGTAGTGGTGCAGTGTGAGGGGTGCTGTAGTGTGTGTGTGTATATATATTTAGAATATATTTGGACGTATTGTATGTGTGAGGTGTGCAGTGTGTTTGTGTAAGAGGGGTGCTGTGTGTGAGGGTGTTTTTATCTGCCATCACATTCTAGGTTTCTAATTTTCTTTGTCTGTTAACTCACTGAGGGTTATTATATATATATGTGTGTGCTGTATATGTGTGGGGGTGCTGTCTGTCTGAGGGTGCTGTCTGCGCCTGGGGCTGTTTGTGTCGGGGGTGCTGTGGGTGTGAGGGGGGTGCTGTGGGTGTGAGGGGGGTGCTGTGTGTGTGAGGGGGGTGCTGGGGTGTGAGGGGGTGCTGTGGGTGTCTGGGGGGGGGCTGTGTGTGTCTGGGGGGCTGTGGGTGTCTGGGGGGTGCTGTGTGTGTGAGGGGGCTGTTAGGGAATTTATTTTAAATAATTTTTTTTTTATTTATTAATAAAAAAAAAAAAAAGTTATGTCCTCCCCCCCCCTCCCTTCTTACCTTTATCCTGGGAGGGGGGAGGAGGAGATCCGTTCTCACATGCTTCCCTGGCGGTCCAGTGGTGAGAGTGAACTCTAACCTGCGGGTTAGAGTTCACTCTCGCGAGAGCTGAGCGTTGCCGTGGTAACCGCGGCAATGCTCAGAATCCCGCGAGAGGACCCGGCGGAGCTGCTGGTTAGAGATCTTTGATCTTTGATCTCCCCACCGGCCCATGGAGGCGCACAGCAGGGCCGGCGCTCGGGTAGCGCTGGCCCTGCACGGGCTGGCAGGGGAGATCCTGTGATCTCCCCTGCCGGCCTCGGCCCCACGGCCATCGCGGCCCACCGGGCATTTGCCCGGTATGCCCGATGGCCAGTCCGGGCCTGTCCATGTACCATGTCCAATCTATTCAGCCACTTTGCCTTAAACTAAAAAATATGGCAATTTATCCACCTAACACTAAAAAGTGTATTATAAGGATAAAGCTACTTAGCTTCTAAATGCAGTTTCCCAAGGTCCTTTCCCTGCTGCTGACCTCATAAATATACGATATAATATGGAAAATTGGGACACAGCTGTATAAAGAAAGATAAGAATAACAAATAATAGTGCAACACTGTATGTAAGTGCCCCTGCTCAATATGGAAAAAGTTAAGTTTCTTTCCCTTATTAAGGAGGTCAGGATCCTCTGCCTCCTAGTAGCGCTCCGGATAACAGTCAAGAACCAGGAAAGTAGCTATAAACAAATTTATTTGAAATATCAAAAAGGTATATATAAAAACAATAATAGGTCGTGGGTCCTATGCGTTTTGTTTCCATGGAAACTTCCTCAGGGATCAATATTTGTGCAGTTACAATAAAAACATTTTCAGTAACAATATGTCATCCTACTCACTCCCTGTACCTATTCCCTTAAATAGGGTAGTTTCTGATGTCCTCTGGTGTGTAAGGGGGAGTGCCTATTCCTTCTCGCAATCTATTTTCTCCAATGCTCATCTCGGCAGTTGTTTCTAATAATTCAGTTCACGCTGTGTAATTCCGTGTTCACCTTCACTTCCTGTTGCGTTCCATCGCCTATTTTTTCATTGAATCAATTGCAATTAGTGTAAACTGATTATTTTTTTCAGATGCTTAAAATTAGATTATATGGCTTGCACCATATGACAAGCTGAAAAGTCGCTAATTAGTAACAACATTTTTAAAAATTATTCTTTAAAAATACTAAAAACCCCTTTTCCAGAATAATGGGTCTCAAAAGAATTCCCTATAATGAGCTCATAAGAAAAAAAAACACAATTGTAAAAAAAACACAATTGTGAACATTTTTTATATACAATGCTTTATAAAGTTATATATAAAAATAAAATTAAATGTAATTTTGTCAAACCAGGTATATCTACTTTATATGTTCTTACTCAAATTTACAAGAAACAAACCAAATCGATATCGACATTTAAGCCCCTCGGCTCCAGTGTCTGCCATCTGTGTATCCAAAATATCTCACGTTGTGACAAAGATATCCATCTGTCCCCTCCTCTCCAATGGGGATTGATTTTCTCAATCCCTATACATGTAAAGTTTTTGGATCAAACATTGGACAGGGGTTACAGTGCACCGGAACCGAATGGGACACAAGTTCTTTCCTAATGTTATTGGCGTGTTCCAACATTCTAACTTTAAAACACTGTTTAGGGCATCCCACATATTGTTTGCCACACGGACACTGCAGTAAGTATATGACAAAGTCCGTGCGGCAATCAATCCATGTCTTTATAGGAAATTCCTCTCCTGTGACATTGCTCCTAAATGAGGTGGTTTTGGGCAATTACATCTCCCACATCCTTTAAAACCTGAATCTCTAAGGTATTTTTGTTGCTTCATTGTTTCTATACCCCTCACGTAGCTGGGAGCTAGGAGGTTTTTTAAGTTACAGTTTTTTTTTTTAAATTATGTGGGGTGTTTTGGCAGAATCATACTCAATACAGGGTCCTACAGGAGAATAGGCCAATGTTTGGCCATCTACTCTTTATTTTCCAATGGTCCTTATAATATCTGGTAATAAAACTGTTGAAAATTTGTATTCTTGGTATTATTAGCTCAATACATCAGTAATAAGTTCCTTTCTTTGTTCCTAGTCAGTTTGATCTCTTTTTCTATGGGATTCCTTTTATATCCCTTTTGCAAAATTTGTTCTTAATATGATTAGCTTGCAATTCATAATCTCTGGTGTCAGAACAATTCCGTCTCACCTGAGTGAATTGGCTTCTAGCTATTCCCCTAAGCAACGGTTGGTCGTGGCAACTTTTACGATGGACTTAGCTATTGCCATCAGTTGACTTGAAGAAACAACAAGATCTTACATCCTTGCCCTCATTAAATAAGGTCACATGTAGGAAAGTAATAGTTTTATTATTCCACTCTGGGGTAAATTTTAAATTAAAGGTGTTTTGGTTAAGATAATGGACAAATGAGTGAAATGTTTGAGAGGAACCGCTCCAAATGATAAGGATGTTGTCTATGAAATGCTGCCAGAGCACCTGACTCGCCCTCCAGTCATGATCCGACCAGACCCAAAAGGTCCTCCCATTTCCTTATATAAATGTTGGCATAACTGACGGCAAATTTGATGCCCATGGCGCTCCCCGTTACCTGCAGAAAAAAACTTTCCATCAAAAAAGAAATAGTTATGCTCCAGTATAAATTTAGCTGAAACCACAATAAAGTTCCTTATGCCTGGTTCTAAAGTAGTATCTTCCCTCAAAAAACAAATGATAGCATTCACTCCAAGTTCATGGCTAATTACTGTTTACAAGGACATAATGTACTTGTAAACAGTGCCCCCCTCTCAAACCCTCCCCCCCATGGCCCAAAGTGGGGAATGGGGGGGAGGGTTTGAGAGGGGGGCAGCAGCCTATAGATTTGGGGGGGAGGGGCAGCAGCCTATAGATTTGGGGGGGAGGGGCAGCAGCCTATAGATTTGGGGGGGCAGCAGCCTATAGATTTTGGGGGGGCAGCAGCCTATAGATTTTGGGGGGGCAGCAGCAGCCTATAGATAAGGGGAGTGAGGCATGGGGGGGCAGCCTATAGATTAGGGAAGTGAGCATAGGCGTGCGCAGCCTATTGCATTAGGGTGTGCACCCTAAAGCACAAACACACGCCATGTGTATATGTATGTGTGTGTATCTATATATATATATATATATATATATAGATATACACACTGCTGTGTGTGTGTGAAGGTGCTGTTTGTGAGGGAACTGGTAGTGTGCTGTTTGTGTGTGGGTTTTGTGTGTTTGTCAGGGTGCTGTTTGTATGAGAGTGTGCTGTTTGTGTGTGGGTGCTGTGCGGGTGTTGTGTGTGGGTTTTGTGTGTTTGTGAGGATGCTGTTAGTGTGCTGGGTGTGTGTGGGTGTTGTATGTGTGTGGGTGCTGTGTGTGCGAGGGTGAAGTATGTGTGTGGGTGCTGTTTGTGGGCTGTGTGTGCTGTGTGTAGGTACTGTGGGTGTGTGTGTGCTGTATGTGAACTGGTGGTTCAGTGTAGAGTGAACTCTAGCCCGGGTTCTCTGCTGCCTCCCTCCATGCTGCTTTGGACTGGTGAGGTAGAACTTTGATCTCCCCACCGGCCCATGGAGGCTTAGCGTCGGCTCTGCATGAGCCGACTGGGGAGATCCAGAGATCTCCCCTGCCGGTCTCAATCCATTGGCGTGCCGCGGGGATTAGGCTGTGCCCAGGCACACCCGACACACCCTGTGCGCACGCCTATGGAAGTGAGGGATGGGGGAGACAGCCTACATGAAGAGTCAGCAAGGAGCAAGAAGGTAAAGTAAGAAAAGGAGAAGGAACAGAAATGAGCAGGAAGGGACATCAAGGAGCAGAAAGGGGCAGCAAGGAGCTGGGACAGCAAGGAGCACAAAAGGTAAAGTAGGAGAAGGAGCACAAAGGAACAGAAATGAACAGGAAGGGTCAGCAAGGAGCTGGAAGGTAAAGCAGCACAAAGGTAAAGTAGAAGGAGCAGAAAGGGTCAGAAATTAGCTGGAAGGGGCAGAAGGAGCACAAAGATAAAGTAGGAGAAAAAGCAGAAAGGGACAGCAAGGAGCACAAAGGTGAAGTAGAAAAGGGAGCAGAAAGAGACAGCAAGGAGCACAAAGGTAAAGTAGAAAAGGGAGCAGAAAGGGTCTGCAAGGAGCAGAAATGGATCAGAATGAGAAAGGAGCAGAAGGGCGCAGAATAAGCAGAAAGTAGCAGAAAGGTAAAAGAGCAGAAGGGGCCAAGGATAGAAAACAGTGTCAGAAGAAAAAAAAATACTGTCAAATGAAGGAGAGGAAAAGGAGATTGGAGCAGGAAGGACAAATGAAGTGAACCCTCCACTTTATTCTGGACACCATATCATAAGGCTTTGGTACCTGGGCCAGACAGGGAAACGCTGGACCTTCTCATCTCCAAAGGTAAAAAAATATCAGTATTAATGTGTTCACTTTTATTTACTGAGTGTCAGGAAGCACAGAGTGCCATTGGGTAGGGGTGTTGCTGATTGGCTAGAGCGGTCAGCTGGCACTCTAAGCCAATCAGAAGCTCCCTATTCATAAAAAAGTAAAAATATTTTATGAACCGGGAACTAGCGATAGGCTTAGAGCGTCAACTGTCCACTCTAGCCAATCAGCGGCACCCATGCCTGACGTCAATCTGCACTTCCTGCCACTCTGTTTCAGAAGCCAAATACCACTGAGCGACCTGGAGCTGGAGGAAGCCTTTGGGTTAAACTATTTGAGAGTGATTTAACCCCTTAAAGGAAAGCGAGCACCCAGGGGCTTCCTGGCATCATAGCATTTTCATTTAGGTGAAGTTGTTATGGTGACCAGAATGGTCCTTTAATTTGCTTAAAGGAAGACTATAGTGTCAGGAATACAAACATATATTTCTGACACCATAGTTGTGAAAACGCTATTCACCCTGGCTTTATGTGATAATGGCTATGCCCCTTCCCTTTCATGACACTGTCAAAAAGGTACCAAGCATGGATGTCATTACAATTATGCCCCCCCCCGGAAAAATTCCTGCGGACGCCCATGCCCAGAGTGTGTATAGGAGATCTAGTGTGTATGTGTGTGTAGAGGATTCAGAGTGTATGTAGGGATCCAGTGAGTGTATATGTGTGTGTGTGTGTGTATGTAGATTAGATGATCCAGAGTTTGGTAAGGGATCTAGCGTGTATCTGGAATGGCATGTGTGTATTGGTGCATTGTGTGTTTGTAAGGGGTGCAGTAGTATATATATATGTTTGGAAGTATTGTATGCGTGTGAGAGGCACTCCCTGCTTTTGGGAGTGCTGTGTGTATGTGTGAAGGGTGCAGCATGTGTGTGTGAGGGGTGCTGTGTGTGTTTGTGAGTGTAAAGGGCGCTATGAGTGTGTGTGAAGGTGCTGTGAGTGTGTGTGTGCTGTGTGAGGGTGCTGTGTATGTGTGTGTGAGGGTCCTGTGTGTGTGAGGGTCCTGTGTGTGTGAGTGTGCTGTGTTTGGGCACCTGTTCTAAATAAGGATATTATGGCACTAGAAAAAGTGTAGAGGTCGGCTACAAAATTAATAAAAGGAATGGAACATTTTGGCTATGAAGAAAGGTTAACAAACTTAAACCTCTTTAGTTTAGAAAAACGTTGCCTCAGAGAGAATATGATAACATTATACAAATATAACCTGGCCCAATACAAACCATTGTGTGGAAATTTATTCACAAACCGCCGGACTTTACATAGGACACGAGGTCATGCGTTTAGACTGGAAGAAAGAAGATTTCATCTAAGGCAAATATAAGTTTTCTTTACAGTAAGAACAATAAGGATGTGGAATTCTCTGCCTGAAGAAGTGGTTTAATCAGAGTCCGTACAGATGTTCAAACAGCAACTAGATGCATACTTGAAAAAACAGAATATTCAAGGATATACTTTTTCAATGTAGGGTAATATCTTCTTGATCCAAGGATTAATCTGACTGGCATTCTTGGGTGAAGAAGGAATTTTTTCCTAGTTTGTTGCAAAATTGGAAGTGCTTCAAACTGTTTTTTTTGCCTTCTTTTGGATCAACAGCAAAAAAACAATGTGAGGAAGGCTGAACTTGATGGACGCAAGTCTCTTTTCAGCTATATAACTATGTGTTTCTGAGTGTGCTGTGTGTGCAGTGTGTGTGAATATATGTGGACTTTATATCCCCCTCCCTTCTTACCTTTTGCAGCCATCCCTGGTGGTCCTAGTGGTGAGTGAACTCTAGCCTTGCCAGGGCAATGCTCCGACCTCGCGAGAGGAACCCGGCGGAGCTGCTGGCTAGACATACCCCGGGTCCTCCTCTCCCTCCCTTCCCAGCCAGCGGCCGCATGTCAGTGCCTGTGGGCTGGTGAGAGAGATCTTTGATCTCTCCACCATCCCATGAAGGCACACAGCAGGGCCGGCACTCGGATAGTGCTGGCTCTGCATGGACCAACAGGGGAGATCCTGTGATCTCCCCTGCCAGCCTCAGTCCATGGCGGCGCACCGGGCATTTGCCTAATGCTCGAAGGCCAGTCCCCCTATTGACCTGTAAAGAAATAGAGGAAAAGACTTTTATTTTGTCTTTTTCCAGAACCTAGAATCACTTGGTGTTGCTGCAAGATCCTCCTACTGTGACGTCATCCTAGAGGTGTTGCTTCTTTTCCAATCCGATGCTCCTCATATTGAAAGAGATGAGGGGTAGAGATGCATGTGGAGCATTGGGGACGAGATGCATGTGCACAATGAGCTCTGTGTGTGCGTCCACTCAGCAGCTTCTCGCAATGAAGCATTGAATCCACTGCCTCATGGGCTGAATTTGATGGTGTTCTTCGTCCGCAGTGCAAATGCCTATTGTGGCTGTCAGGACCATATTTACTAAATGGTAATGTTTTAGATTGAAGGGCTAAAAGGAAACTGCTGCTACACCAAGACTTCTTCATTGAGATAACGTTGTCTTGGTGCCTCTAGCGGTCCTTTAATGACAACAACATTGGACAAGATTGATAATGTAGAAATGTAAATTCCATATTATCCATGTGGCTGTGAACTTCAGGTGCGGTGCATGTTTTACATAAAAGCAATGGGCAGCACTCTAGGCAACATAATCAATTTACTGAGCTGTAGTAGATAGCCTAACACAAGGGTGCCCAAAAGGTAGATCCCAGATGTTTTAAAACTACATGATGCTAGAGGCTAGCAAAGCATCCTGGGAGTTGTAGTTCTAGAACAGCTGGGGATCTTCATTTTAGGCACTTCTGCCTTAGAATGACCATTTGAAATTGGCGAAGCTTATCTCAAGTAGTAGTGTTCCAACAGTTGGGGGACTACTCTCGACAGCACAGATTTAAAAATCTTTCTAGTGAATGATTACTGAAGATAAATTGTGATAAGCCTTATAATTAAGCAGGCCCGGACTGGCCATTGGGCATACCGGCAAATGCCCGGTGGGCCGCGATGGCCGTGGGGCCGAGGCCGGCAGGGGATCTCCCGGGCCGCCCCCTGCAGGGCCAGCGCTATCCGAGCGCCGGCCCTGCTGTGTGCCTCCATGGGCCGGTGGGGAGATCAAAAATCTCCCTTTACTGGCCCACAGGCAATTATAACCGGCCGCCAGCAGGAGAGGGAGGGAGGGAGGTAGGCAAGAGAGAGGACCCGGCAGAGCTCTAACAAGCAGCTCCGCCGGGTCCTCTCGCGGGATTCTGAGCGTTGCCGCGGTTTCCATGGCAACGCTCAGATCTCGCGAGAGTGAACTCTAACCCGCAGGTCAGAGTTCACTCTCACCACTGGACCACCAGGGAAGGCAGCATGGCTCCCCTCAGGGCACCCCTGGCAGAACGGATCTCCTCCCCCCCTCCCAGGATAAAGGTAAGAAGGGATGGGGGGGATATAATTTTTTTTTTATTAATAAAATTTTTTTTATTATTAAAAAAAATATTTAAATTTAAATTACATTCACTCACACACTCACACACACAGCACCCCCCAGACACACACAGCACCCCCAGACACACACAGCACCCAGACACACAGCACCCCCAGACACACAAAGCACCCCCAGACAAACACACAGCACCCCCAAACACACACAGCACCCCCAGACACACAGCACCAGCACCCCAACACACACAGCACCCCAGACACACACAGCACCCCCGAACACCCAGCACCCAGACACACACAGCACCCCCAGACACACACAGCACCCCCAGACACACACAGCACCCCCAGACACACACAGCGCCCAGACACACACAGCACCCCCCAGACACACACAGCGCACACAGCATCAGACACACACAGCGCATCAGACACACACAGCACAGACACACACAGCATCCAGACACACACAGCACCCCCAGACACACACAGCATCCAGACACACACAGCACCCAGACACACACAGCACCCCCAAGACACACAGCATCCAGACACACACAGCATCCAGACACACACACACACCACCCAGACACAGCACCCCCCAGACACACACAGCACCCAGACACACACAGCACCCCCCAGACACACACAGCATCAGACACACACAGCATCAGACACACACAGCACCCCCAGAAACACACAGCACCCCCAGACACACACACAGCAACCCCAGACAAACACAGCATCAGACACACACAGCACCCCCCAGACACATACATCATCCAGACACACACAGCACCCCCAGACACACACAGCATCAAGACACACACAGCACCCCCAGACACAGCACCCAGACACACACACACCGCACCCAGACACACACAGCACCCCCAGACACAGCACCCAAACTCACACTGCACCCCCAGACACACACAGCACCCACAGCACCCCCAGACCAACACAGCACCCCCAAACACACACAGCACCCAGACACACACACAGCTCACTCCCACACATATACAGCACACACACACACATATATATATAAAATAACCCTCAGTGAGTTAACAGACAAAGAAAATTAGAAACCTAGAATGTGACAGCAGATAAAAACACCCTCACACACAGCACCCCTCTTACATACACACAGTGCGCCCCTCACACATACAATAAGTCCAAATAAATATATATATATATATACACACACATACACTACAGCACCCCTCACACTGCACCACTACACACATTACGCTCCAGATACACACTAGATCCCTTACCCTATATGCACTCTTAATCCTCTACACACACACACACACACACTGGGTCCTTTACACAGTAGATCTCCTACACACACACTACATTCCTTGTCAGCAAACACATACAACATTCTCTAAACACACCCTCTCTGCAACCCCTACACACACTACGTCACCTATACACACACACTTCAGCCCGTATGCACACACTCGCTGCATCCCCTATAAAACTATGCCCCCTATACACACACTCTCTACAGCCCCTTGCCACACATATTACACCACAAACACAAATGAAATTGACCTATTTACACAATACCACACCACACTCTACACACACGCAATCCCACAAGCAGGCTCCAAACATATGCACCATACACTTTCCTGGCCCTTTTGTCCTCTGGTATCCCACTTGTGGAGACACCAGAGACAATTTAAAAGCAAACACAGCGCAAGCATGTTATTAAATTTGCTTGCACTGCGCAGAACAAATTCAGGGCCTTTTTCTAATGCTAGAGCTCTTCAGCGGGGCTCTGCGCATTGAACCAACATGCTCACTTTGAGAGGGGGCGTGCTTGTCATTAGTGATGACAAAACACACACTCTCTGGCCCCGCCCCCTTCTTAGGGGGCCGCTCTGATTGAAAAATGCCCGTGCCTAATTTTTTTCCCATTCCGGCCCTGTAATTAAGGATTGTAAACCCAAAATATTTAAGGCATTATTTCTGACATTCCTTCAGTGTCATCTCTTACTGTTACAAAATAAATCCAAGCTTTTTTTTCTCCAAGATCGGTAAAGTTATATCTGTGGTATTGCTGCTTAAATAATTAACTATAAAATGAAATGATTTAACCAGATTGACACCTTTCTGTTTTGTTTTGTTTTTGCGGTTTAGAAGTACAGTTTAGAGTTTTTTACTTCCCAACCCAATGGTGCCCATTTTATTGCTTCATTAGTATTGTCATTTATATAGCGCCAACATATTCCTCAGCGCTTTTCAGCTATAGAATGGTGATATTTGACAAGTAATTGACAGAGACAATAGGTGAAGAATGCCCTGCTTACGCTCCATGAAGGGTTACTACTTGGTATGAATCCTGATATCCCTGAGGTAGTAACCCAGGTACTGGGTGTATCACAGATGCTGTATTACTACCCAATATTTTATAACCATGCTGCTGAGCAGGATGCTATATTTTACTATAAGCACTGATAAACATAACACAGTGCAGTCTGAGAATAAGGTCTGCTATCTGATGGCACTCCAACATTTGGAGACTACAGATCCCATAATGCAAAGCCATCAGAACTGCAGGCTGAGCATGACTGTAATTGAGAGTCCGAGCCAGCAGTGATGGCAGAGTGTTATCAGCTCTCACACACGCACAGTGTGAGAGGAACATCAATCTGTGCTCCTCACTGACAGCTCCTCTCACAGCAGCAGCTCCTCGCTGACCCCTCCCACCTGGACCGTACCACACGTATCGGGGGGGGGTGTTACATGGGTTCTGCTCCCCTCTGCTAGCTCCGCTTTATTGTTAGCGGTACTGCCCTCACCCCGCGGGTTTAGCTAGTCCCGGCCCCGGGCGCTGCTGGCTCCGGCCCCCGCTCCCTGCCTGCCTGCCGGTCCCGAGCTGCCACGCCCCGGCTCCCCCGGCCGGTAGCGGCGCCCACACACGTGCGGCTCGGCCAGTTTCCGGGTGCCGCACAGTCAGGGCAGGCGGCATGCAGGAGGAGGAGGACGGGGCAGCCCGGGAGTTCCTGGGGAGCGTGCTGCGCGATCTCCCGGAGCAGAGACAGCAGCTGAGGCCGGGCAGCCGCACCGTGAGCCGGGAGGAGGCACAGGGGGAGCTGGCGGAGGTCCTGCTAGGATTTCTGGGAGACAGGTGAGAGGGCTCCCCACACCCCCTCCATGGGCACTGTGTAACCATAGCAACACAATGACAGGGCTGTCACTGTGAGAGAGGGAGCGCACCCACGGGGGAACTACAACTCCCATCATGCTTTGCCAGCCATTACAATAGCACAGCATCGTGGGGATAGAAGTCGCACAGCTGGTGGGTCTGCTCTGTGGCCAGCCCTGCTATAAAGTGACTAACTAGCCCTGGGCTTCCAGAGAGTGACTGTTAGAGAGAGAGAGTGTGTGTGTGTGTGTGTGTGTGTGTGTGTGTGTGTGTGTGTGTGTAGTGCTGCTGTCATTGTAGGACACATTGCTTTCATGTCAGGAGAGTGTGGCTATGACCTGTGTGTGTCAATAAATCTGTATTCAGCAATAAGCTGCAGTCACTACTTACTAATATTGTTGGTTTGGTTTTGTAATTTAGAATTTGATCCAGTTTGGAGTTTAGTGGGTATGAACCCTGATTGTGATTGCCATAGTAATCAGGTCAGTTTATCCAGACCCTGTTTCTGCAGCTTTACTTTTGACAAATTTTGGACTTAAAAATATGGTCTTGAAGAGTTTACACCTAGGGGAGCGATGGCAAGGGGGGGGCAGGGGAGGAGGTACTCTGTGGGTTTTGGCTTTTGCTGATGGCCTTTCAGTGCTTGCCAAGACTGGCTCACTGGCATATTTTCTGGAAGACTGCAGTATTTGGGGCTTACCTGGCTGCCAGACTATGATGAGTATGTATTTAATTCTTGGAGGTGTTTGCAAGTGCTGCACTGTGAGTAGGTCCATTGACACTTGTGAGTTTTGTGTGCAAAAATTTGATATATTTTTATTCTTTTTACCAGTTTTCGATGGTTACGCCTATAGCTGGATTGAACATAATGTGACCAAAGGCCGACATGGGTTTGCCAGAGGCCTAAACACTACAACAGTGGTTAGCTGTGTGTTCCTCTTATACTAGAAGTGGAGGAAGTACAAACTGGTATTCTTTCTAGAGCTCTGTGCTTGGGCATCCACGGAAATGTTGACAGATTTGTTTGGTATCTATGAGACATTTTTTTTAAACTAACAAAGTTTCAATTTCAACAAGAAAAATACAATTCTTAAAGGGATACTGTACTCACCATAACCACTACAGATTAATATAGTGGTTCTGGTGTCTCTGGCCTCTCCTGTAGGCTTTTCAGTGTAAATACTGCATTATCAAAGAAACACTCAGACGGCCATTAGTGTGTCCTGGGTCAGTGCTGCACAGTGTGCAGCACCTACATTTAGCATCTCCTCACTCCGTATGGAGGCACTGAATGTTCGCCATTGAGAAACCAACATGGCGTGGGGGGAAAAAAGTGAGTAAACAACTTTCCCATGCAAGCGGAGGAGGGCAGGTAACCTAAAAAGATGCAATTTCTGTCAAGCACAGACACATGTACAGACGTCATATTTAAAAAATAAATAAATAAAAAAAATCCCCCAACTTAATGAAGTGGTCTGGGTGCCCGGTCCATCTAGGATTAACCCTTTTTGCTGTAAACATAGCAGATTCAGAGAAACTGCTATGTTTAACTATGGGTTAATCCAGCCTCTAGTGGCTGTCTCATTGACAGCCGCTAGAGGCGCTTCTCACTGTGATTTTCTTGCCGCGCATGCGCATTCAGCCAGGGACGTCAGAAGAGGGAGGAGAGACCCAGCGCTGGAAAAAAGGTAAGCGATTAACCCCTTCCTCCCCCTTCATCGCCACGGGAGTGGGACCCTGAGGGTGGGTGGGGGCACTATAGTGCCAGGAAAACGAGTTTGTT